TTAGCATTAGCTAACTGGTGCTAACCACCTTTAGCATTAGCTAACTGACGCTAACAGCCACATGTCTATGCTAACAAGCTAACTAGCATCAGCTAGCTCATTCACAAAATTTGCAAGTTAAACATTTTACAAATTGTTTTACCGTCTCACATCAAACGAGATAAATTTAACTCAAATAATTTGAGGAAACCGATCACCTTGAATTATAACAGTTAACGGTTCATTTAAAGTCAAATCAATGCTTTTTCAGGTTACATTTGCAATTAAAGTTAGCAATTTTAGCTTCGCTGCATCTTTTCATTAAAAACAAATAAATAGCTAAAACATCAAAGTTCTTGCTCAATAATCCAGAAAATCCAACAAAGTTCAGTCAGTTTATGTGTGGACGGTTTGTTTTATGTTGAAACGTTTCCTCCTCCATCCAAAGGACTTCTTCATAATAACAGTTTCTTTTTCACCATTTCAGTAGTTTTTCCTGTTTAAGGATTTATAATTTATTTTATGATTTCAACATTAAGCATTTTTTTTCATTTATTTAGTCTTTTTTACAGAAATAATAAAATAATTTGCTGAACTGCATTGATCTGTTTCTGACCGATATTGTTTTTATTAATCAAAATCAAAGCTTCATCAGTTTTTAAGTCAAATATATAATTTAACATTATTAACTTCGAAGTCTTACAAATAAAAACTGAAGCAGAGTCAAAACTGCGTTTAAATAAAAAAGTTACTGAAGCAGGTTTTATTGTGCATTCTTAGATTTAGGATCTTATTAATGTTATATAACTCATTTGAAGCGCTTCTAATTTCTGCTCAGCTTTATTTATTTATTTATTTACTTGTTTACTTTAATGGAGTAACAACCAGAGGCTTTCCTGGGGCGAACTTGAGGAGTTCCCGGAGTGATTTATCCGCTTCTGTCGAGTCACCGAGCGGCCAAAGGTGAAGTCCCGGACACCTCGGAGCTGGACCCCCAAAGACCCCCTCAGTCCTCCTGCACCAACAAAACCATCATGATGGCAGGAAACCGGGCAGACTTGTGTAATAACATCCAACTCCTCTCAGGTGAAAATAAGATTTAAGAAAATAAGTTCCCGGTGCTAAAAGGGTCCCAGACATTTTCCACATCTTCATAACTATGAAGTGGTGATTTGGGCCTAATGAGGCCGGCATATTGATGGGGGTAATCTGGACCCGGATCTCATGCATAATTCATGGCAGCCGGGATCACCGGCGGGTCAGGAGACGGAGCTGCAGCCGCAGATGCGTCAGGAGGAAGCGGGCAGACTGTGCACCGTCACCGGGGCGCACCGGAGGACCGAGGCTCCACTTCACCGGCTTTTATCCGTTCAGACAAAAAGAGCGGAAATAATTAAAAACATATGCAATTTATATTATTTAGGACTTTATTTCTAAGGTTTTGTTGCAATGAATTTAGACTCGTTTTAAAATGTGCACAAAGAAACGAAATGTAAAGAAAAACTTTTACACTTAAATATATTTATATTTATATAAGGCCTTTAGCTTTAACCTAAGATCATTTTATTACATTAAATGAAGAATTTTAAACCTGTCGGGGATGACGCTCAGTCGCCGCCGGGTTAAACATTTAGCCCCAAATCTGTAAATTTGACCGATAAACGTTTTTGTCTTTGGTAATTTTGATTTGCTGCATGGCCATTTGGAGCTCAATTAACTCCAAAAATGTATGAGCTGCAGATGCGCACCCAATGACTATTTACTGAAAGTTTAATCCAAATCAGCCCAGTGGTTCATGAGATATTTTGCTAACAGACGGGATGATTGTCCGCCTCTCGCCTTTGAGCGGCGGGTGATTATAATAGGGTGAACCAAATGTGACCTTGATGGTTGTAGTGGAGGTGGGTAATGGATGCTGAACATCTGTTTGTGTGTAAGAGAAGATGATGATGAGGTTTGATGAAGGCCCGGGGGCAGTTCGGCGGCTCGTCCAGCAGAGGGCGCCTCAGACCGGCCCGCCCGATGATGGATGAGTTTATTTCTCCCTCAGCTTTTATCAGCAGAGGTCAGGAAGGTCACCAAGAAAAGAAAAAAATCACCCCCAGTTATCTGTTCAGGCTGAGAGGGAGGATTGGAGCTTTAATCCCGGATTATCTGAGCTGAGAGGGAAACACCTGAAGACCATTCGTCAACTCAAACTGTTTCTTTTACTCTCGTTCGAGAGCGGTTTATCGTTTTGAACACCTGATATATAATATTTGTTGTTTAATATCTGGCAAACAGAATCAATCAGAACAGAACATGTTCTAAACACAGATTAAATAAAACCGCGAGGGAATAAAATTAAGAAATACACAGAAAAATACACAATGCACTCCCCGTGGAAACGTTCAGAAAAGATCTGACAGAAACTAAAACATATTTTACAATTTATAAACCAGAAATAAATGATTTATTTTGACGTTTTCCTTTAATTGACTGTTTTTCTTGAGATGTGATTTAAAGGTCAAGGTTTTTTTTGGTAATTTGCATCACGTGGTACATGAGGTGGAACGTAATGTGTACTCGAGGTCCCATTTATATGGTACCCAGTTATTCCCAGTCCAGGTCCCAGTTATTTAAAAGAATGTATTACTTTTGTTAGATAAACTTAGGCGTTATAAATTTTCATTGCATACTGTAGAATGAGTTGTTATATTTCTCAACAAGAGTAATGTGCTTTTTTTTAATGGCAGTTTCTCATCTATTAAAAAAATACAATGTGGAGTTCCACAGGGCAGCTGTTTAGGACCTTTGCTGTTTTCAATTTTCACTAATGACCTGCCGTTTGTCCTGCAGCATGCCACGCTGATGACACCACAATATGTCAGGTTCACCTGTCGAGACACTGTCCACCACCTTGGACAGCAAATTTAGGCGAGCTGTAAATTGGGTGCAAACAAACAAATTGTTTTTAAACATATCTAAAACCAAAAGCATATTTGGATCAAACTGGGAACTCAGCCAAAACTAAACCTGTCTATAAATGGAACAGGTATAATAAATGAGACTTCTGGGAGTTCTTCTGGACAACGGACTGGAGTGGTCTCAGCAGACTGA